GTAGCTGAGGTCTTTGCTGATGTTGTCAAGGGATTTTTGGGGCCTCTAGGGTACAAAGAAATGGTGAGATGTGCCTCCAGACGCGCGTCTTGCTTAGATTTTCTCGTCACTGAAGCTCTCTGGCTCTCTCAGATCTTTGTAGCAGTGATGGGCTACTTGCTGACGACCTTGGTGGTCAGGTGCACTCTGGCCTTTTTGAGTCAAGCCAAACTGATGGTGCAGCAACAAGCGTCGCCTCAAGCCTTTCAGCCTGGACACTCGCACCCACGAAGCATCGCGGCTTCTTCCTTCATGCCGCCTTTTGGCGTGCACCCTTCGATGGCACAGATTGATCACCAGTCTGCTAGATCTCGGCCTTGGGCCTCCCAATCGACCGCTGAAGCTCAGCATCCTCGCGAGAGAAGAGTCGTTGAAAGATCGTCGTGAAGGACAATGGGCCCGCTACGTGTCTTCTCCTGAGTGTTTATATCCTGTGCCTTTCTACACACCCTTCTCGTCATTCCAGAATCGTGATTGCGCCTGCGCAAAAGATTGATTCACGATTGATGAGGTGCACTCTACGCTGATCAAGCCCTGTGGCTGTGTGAGGCTAATCTTCATGTGTCTGCGAGTCGAGGGTCGCGCCTGACTCGCACACACTCGAGGCTTCAGCCGAATCGCATCAGCCCACCACTTCGGGTCGAGCGAGCGAGCATGCAGGACGCGATGTTTGATTTCAGCAACTCAAGATTCAAAATTGCGTGGCTGTTTGCGTGCTCGATCTGAAATCTCTCCATTCACGATTAGCTGAGACAGCTTGTGTCAACTTTTGAGTTGCTTTTGCCTGCCTGCAGGCTAAGTCGCGAATTGAATCTGATCGTGAAAAGCCATGTACAAATCGTTCAAGTTCCAATCTGCAATGACGTTCATGCAGATTGCTAAAAGAGCAGCGATGCGAGTCGCCCCTGCTGCTGCTTGCTCGCAGCTGTTGTGCCTCATGGATCCCTTTCTGCATATTATGACCTCGGTCGCGTCCGTGCAGATTCAACCAACTCACGATTCAGATTCACATTGACCGACGCCTGCTACTGCTGCTGCCGCCGCGCTGTCAATTATACGGCTTCATCTTAGCAGCAGCATATTCGATGCGCCACAACGAGACAGCTCACCGCGCGCACTCACATGTGTATGCAGCGAACCTATGTATGCACTCACCATGACAGACCGCTTGCGCCCATGCAAGCATCATCGCGAGCTATACAATCGTGATTATACGAGTCTTGAATCACGAGTGTAATCATCACAAGAATCATCACGAATATGTAAAGAGGTGCGCGGTATATACGCGGCACGACCGCTTCAGGAGCTCGCCAAACGCGCGTCGCAGGAGCTGTTGTACAGCAGACAGAGACGGTACGCCGTGATGCTCAGTTGGACCGCACAGCATAAAGCGCCGCCGCATC